GCTGGAAGCTGGCGGAAATTTTAAAATGGCGTGGATGCGCGGTGGCAAAAGTAGGCAGTTTTAGGTATAAAGATTGCAGCCCTCATTCTTCAGTATTCCTATCAGGGGCGTAGATTAAATATTTAAAAATAGGGATCAGTGAGCAAGTAATAGACATACAAACAGAAGAACTAATTGTTGATGTTGGTGACAGTGATAGAGATTCCGATGATGACAGTGAATGTGAAAACTAACTATAAAACCAAAGCAATAGGTTAATTTTTTCTTTTTGATAAGTCATGTTTTTACATTGTTTTCTAGTACGCTACTGTCCCATCTGTATTAATACTATAATTTACGCCTACTGAAAGCTTATTTGTGTATCGGTTCCAAGTGACTTACCCAGGTCATAAATGGGCAAGTACCTGCGCGACGCTCGCCAGCTTCCTTCGTCAGACCTGTACCTACGTTATGAATGTAACAACGCGTTACTGTCATAACGTAACACTTTACATTTTAGTATTTTAAATAAGTGGTAAAAACAAAATATATGAAATAGCTTTCACTAACGGGGTCGTGACATAAACAAAAAAAAATTCACCTCCCTTCAGTAAGCTACTTTTGTGATATCACAACTACAAGTTTAGAGAATAGACGTTGTAGATACTGGTAAATTTGTAATAGTTAGTGGGAGTGAGGACGATGATGAAAGTAAAACAAGAATTATGTTTAAATAGACAAATTTTTATTTCTCAATCATTAATTCTATCCTCTCATATTAGCGTTACCCCAAATAGTCCAGTCAAATGAGGGAAATGGCTGAAGAGAACTTTATAATGGAAAAAATGATTGAAACACGAATTTCGTAAGGAACACAAATATGTAAATGAAAATTATTTGGCCTGTATAGGAGGGGGGGAGAAAATCCGCAAAAACAATTGCAAATTCGATTATCTTGTGAAATATGAAAGATATGGAAAAAAAGTTTCAATAAAAGCTTATCACAATGCCATTTTGCAAAAAAAAAGTATTGATATTTTAATCGATTCGTAACTTATCTTAATCGGTTAAACTATCTTTTCAGAGAATAAAAATTTTGGGTAACTTTACTAACAAAAGATTCGTCGATGATTGATTTAAACTATATGAACTACAAAATAAAATATACTGTGTACTATGATTTGATCTTTTCAAAGCAACTCAAGTCGCGAGAAGTTAGCTTCGCATCCTTTAAATAGTCGCACTGTAGGGCTTGATTGGCAATTATGCGTTCTTCAGGGTTGTTAGTGGAAGCTAAGTAAAAATAAAAAAATAGAAATTAAAAAACTTAAAATTTTTGGATATTCCTTCATGGACCTCTTCAATTTTCGGAACAAGAAAAAGTTATACGGGGCCAGATCTGGGGAATACGGTGGCTGCGGCATTATTTTTTGGCCAAAAATTCGCTTACAAGCAACGATGTCTAAGCAGGGGCGTTCTCATAGTGCAAAAGCCAATTTCTGTTCTTCCAGAAATCTGGACGTTTCTGGCGAATTACTTCGCGCAAATTGCGCATAACTTGCAGGTAAAACTAATGTAGGTATAATCTTTATTATTAATGAGACACTTGAATTTTTGTGGGGTTAATTCAATGTATTAGTGAATTAATTTTACCCACTATACAGATAACCTCAAATTACCTGGTTTAACGCACCAGTACGTACTCTATCAACAAGGTACAAGGATGTTCGACCTCATTATATGAAGTTATCTTTATTAGTGGGTAAAATGAATCTAAAAAAGTAATTCACTAATACATTGTATTAAACCTGCAATTATAATTAAAAACAATTATGATTCTACATTAGTTCCACG